TAAACCGCTAATATATTTTTGGTAATTCAAAGAATTTCGAGTAAATATTCATACACGAGCTAAGCCGCAAGTTGATCACTTGTGTTTTATTTTGCAAAAAAAAAAATTCTAAAAAATATAATAATATTTACCACCGTTCAGAGTGTAGGTATTTTTATCTTACGGTAATTTAACGGACATCGGTAGTGGAAAATAATTACATAGGCGAGAAAAAACAATTCACAGGACGACACCACCTTGACCTTATGCCCCCCCCCCAGACGTTAAGACGTTGACCGTAATATCCAGTGGACGGTTTTCCACTGATATTGACATGTGTGTGTATATCTGTGACACGATGGAGTCCTGTCTATATGTCAACTCCCACACTGTGTAACGGCATGAACGTTAGTCGATAAATCAATTTGCTGTCTTCGTTCTGGGGTTTTTTTTTACACTATTTCCTTTTTATTTTTCGTTTACAGTCTATAAAAATCAGACATTCTATTCCGAATAGTTTGGATGGAAATTATTATAAGCTTTGCCCGAAGAAGCTGAGGAGGTAGTTTCTAAAAATGGAATATCTTATGTTAAAATATGCGGTTTGTTTTTAAGGAGTTTTGTATAGATAATATATTTTAAGAAAAAAGAGTTTTTTTTTTTTATAAATTTACACCATGTCAATTTGTTTACCGAACCGTTTGTATAAGCTGCTTCAAGGTATTATTTTTAATTTAAATATTTTTTTTCTCTATGAGTAAAAGCCATTTTGGTTTATTTTTTAGACCAAACGGCCAGGCAAAATTTCAATTGGTTCTTTGGCTTTATTTAAAAAACCACTTTCTTGTAATTGAATAAATTAAATTTGTAATTTTTTCAATATTAACACTCATTTCTTTTACATAATAGTTTTCAATTATAATATTTATCCAAATGTGTAAAAAATAATTCACTATGAAAGCAATACATTTTTCAATTTTCTTGTTTTTTTTTTTAGCTATCATAGTCATTAAAACCGTACAGTGTACACAGTTCAACAGATTGAAATTATATTTACTAGATGTTGTAAAATATAGCAATATTAATCTCAAAATCACATGTCTGACAAAATAAACACAAAATTAATTTTGTCCATACATTTATCTGTTTTTATTTAAGAAACTATAATATCTTGGACTAGGATCTGCAAAAAAAAATATGAGTACTCTATTGACGAGGTTTATTATTTATTATTTTTATAATCCTATTATCTCTACTATAATCAATGACAATACCGACGACTGTTTATAGCCATTATTTTACTTGTATAGCCGAGTTTATCGTTCATAAGTGAAGAGACTTGGCAAGTATTTTTTTTAGCTTCGATGCTTTAATAGCTGAGGAGGTGTATCGTTTTTTGTAACGATGTGTTTTGTTAATATTTTTGTCAGGTTGTAGTCAAGATAAGCTCGAGTGGCAACTATTTCGACCCTTAATCGTATGCGATTGGTACTTAAGTGGGTCGTAAGTAGAAAAAAAGTCAACTTATTCAACCCCAAAACCGGGGTAAACCCAGAGAAAAACAATTTGGAAAATATACGACGGTTGTCGTAGCGATATACTTAACGGCAGTTTTTTCCCTATGAAAAAACTAATTTAGTTAAAAAAGGCTTAACATTTTTTATAAAAAAATAAAATATGACATAAAATTGTATAATTCAAGTTGGGTAAAAAATCTTCGAAATATTGGAAAATTTTGACTATAACAATAATAAATTAATACATAAACTGTACTTAAACGAAACCGCCATTCCAAACGAGTAGATAAATTTGTGGTTTTTAGAATAGGTAAGTATAACTAATGGAGAATTTCAAAATTGATCAGACAGTGAAAGTTTATTGTTATTTAGTGAAGTATATAATTTTGAATTATACACAATTTGATAATGTTTTTATTGGATTCGAAAGAAACTGGATATTACTATGACACCTTTGGATCCTTTCTGAAATTATAAAAAAAACAGTTATTATAATACATAGGCCAGATATAATTTATATTTCATAATGTCACTATTGTCAAAAAAACATTTGTTTATAGTCTATGTATATTAAAGTTACAGATTTTTTTTTGATACTTAAACATTCTAATAAAGATTATTTGTAAAATGTCGATTGCTTTGACCCTTTTTATGTATACATTACATATATATATTTGTATTATCGTTTGGGCTATTATTTTGATCGAAGATAGACTAAGAAGGCTTAAGTATGGTTGTTTCAGTGAACCAAACCGCTATCCAAAACGAATAAATAAATCTGCGGTTTTTAATATTAAATAATAAGTGTAACTAACAAAAACAACACATTTCAAAAATTGGCTTAATTGTAAAAGTTTATTACGATTTAATGAAATATAAAATTTTGGTTTTGGATACTATTTTGGCTAAATCATATAATTTACAGAAATATAGACTGGGCATTAAATTCCTCAAGAAACTAAATATATGTGCTTTTGTGTTTATAATCCTGTAAATTAATACATCAAATTTATTTAATTTGACGATTTTTTTTATTAAGTATACTAATCTTTTTAATTTTTAATAATTATGTAAACGAACCACTAAACAATTTATACTACGTTTTTTAATTAGAAAAAGTTATTATTTTTAATTTAAGTAAAGCCTACCTATTCTAGCACTTCAGAGGGACACCAACCTATGCATGGCAGGCAACACAAGCACAATCCACATGATTTACACTTTTCCATATTACCCTCCTTTTTTTTGTTCTTTACCATTTTGTTTTCTGCTACACAAGTCTTTGAATGCATATCTACACAAATCAATTAGAACATTGTGTAATTTTAAAGTAAATACTTTGAATTATACTTGATTCGTATTAAATTGTAATGACCATACTTTTAATGTAAGCATATTACACATTACAGTGTACACAATGCATACAAAGCAAATTACCGTTTGATGACTTTAAAGTGACATTATGGTTTTAAAAAAAAATAAACATTATAGGTATCATTTTTTAAACGATTTTACAGTTGAGATTTTAAATACATATATTTTATTTATAATGTTGAATGTTTATGTATAATGTATTTCTAATGTTTTGTTATTTGTTGGTGCGGTTTAATATACCAAAAACAAATATATAAATCTAACAATTTTTAGAAATCAAATCACTGTTTCCTAACTTTTAAGTGACATAATGGTTTTTAGAGAAATAAACATTTTGTAGGTATCGTTCCAAATGAAACAATAAACAAATATTTACTAGTAACAACTATTTTTTTATATACATATATACAAGTAGAGTAGGTTATTACTCATGTCTTACTAGTCTATACTGACCTTTCGCGCTTTCCGGTTCATTGGAAGCATCTACCCCTAATCAAACAAATTAAATTACAATTTGCTAACTTAAAAAGGTATGTACTGACCTTTTGTGTCTTTGTTAAGCATTTCCGCTTAATCCAAAAAAAAAAAATATATATAAATGAAATTAATGTTTGCTAACAATAATGCGACATAATAGTATGTAGAAAAAATAGAATAAATAAAATAGGTATAATGTTTTATACGTTTTCTTAGTAACTTTAGTGCAGATTTTTTATTAAAAAAAGAAATTAAAAATTTTTAAAAATGTTTTATTACACTTATTGTTTATACTACTATATACATCTCAATATTTAGAAGTCTACATGTTACTCATATGTTGACTTCCAAGTAACTAAATATATTTTCAAAATTCGTATAAAATATGTATGTCACTCTATATTGTATTTTACGCAGTTTAACACGTTTAGCTTTAAAATAGGAAGTTATCTATTTTCACTTGTATAATAGTTATTAGAGAATAATTTTCAAACCGTTTTAGTATAAAAAATAGTGTACAAGGTTGTTATATAATATATATATATATTTATATATAACATATATATATATATATATATACCTTGGGTGACTAAATATAAATAAGAAAATTAATTATCAATATCATTACATATTAATGCTCGCATACGTAGGTTTGTGAAGAAAACCTACAAAATGGTCAACTCCTATCAGTAATACTTGTTATTTAATTAGATATATTAATATCATAAGTGTAGTATATCGTTATTCGTTAAACTCGAATAATCTATCCAAGAATAGAGTACTGTAAAAACAAAATACAAACTAAAATTAACCATTGATATTTCCAAGATTATGATAGCCAAAAAAAAAAAATGGTGAATTTTTGCATGATGCTAAACTATTAATCGTTTACAATTCTGAAAAACACTGTAATGTTGTACGTTGTACCTACGACTTAGTAGTACTGAAAATGTAAAGAGAAAGAAATTAAATAGGCATTGTTTACATTATCGAGCAAGTGTTATTCTGGCTATATTGAAAAGGTTTAACGAAACTCTAATTTACTATACCGAGTGATTCTTTTAACGTCCAACACTAGTTTAATCTTAAAATAAATGCAAACTTTTAGTGTTTCTCTTTGAAAATATTTTTGGTTGGGTATATTACAGAGAGGCATATCAACACAAATCAATTTGAACATTGTGTAATTCAAATGTAAATACTTTGAAATATATGAATTATATTTAATTCGTATTAAATTGTAATGACCATACTTTTAATGTAAGCACATTACACATTACAGTGTACAGAATGAATACAAAGCAAATTACCGTTTGATGACTTTAAAGTGACATTATGGTTTTAAAAAAAAAATAAACATTATAGGTATCATTTTTTAAACGATTTTATAGTTAAGATTTTAAATAAATACATATATTTTATTTATAATGTTGAATGTTTATGTATAATGTATTTCTAATGTTTTGTTATTTTTTAGTGCGGTTTGATATACCAAAAACAAATATATAAGAAGATTGTACATGTATATGTAGACTTCTAAATAACTTAATTTATTGTCAAACATTTTATAAAATATGTATGACTTACAATTGTATTTAATTTAATTATTAATTCTATACATATAGTCTATATACTTACCTTCTACAATTTCAGATACATTCGAACCATCTACACCTAATCCAACAAATTGTATAAATCAAATTACCGTTTGCTAACTTCCAAGCAGCAAAAAGGTATGCGGACAATTTTTTTTGGTAAGTTTCATTTTTTGCCATATTTTATAATAACTTGGGTGTAGCTTATAAAATAAACAGTAATATATAATTATTTCAATCTAGTATTTTGATTATTATTATTATTGGTGCCGTTTAAAAACAACACTAAAAACATTAACAGTAAATGTGATACATTTTATTTCCATCTGTACCGTGATTCCACTTCTAGACCTATATTACTTCACGATAATAGTGTACATAGAAATAATTGTAACTTACCATGTGGATTGGGTGGTGCACCTTGGGTGACTAAATATAAAGAAGAAAATTAAGTGTCAACATCAATATATGCATATACATATAGTCGCATATATAATTTTGTGAGGATAATATACAAGTATTTAACTTCTATCAGTATAATGTGTCATTTATATGTATGTATAGTATATTGTCAATTTAGAATAATTAACCCTAAAATAAAGTACTGTAAAAAATTACCTAATGAAATTTCCAAAATAACGGTAGTTATAAAAAAAATGGTGATTTTTCTCATTGTGATAAAATAATCGTTTAGAATTTTGAAAAAAAAACACTGTTATGTTGTTCGATGTACTTACAACTATAGTAAGAAAAATGAAAATAGAAATAATAAAATGATATATAGAGACGGTTTTACTTGTATGAAACTCTGACACAAACGACTATATTATTTTAGTTTCAAATATGATATAGTTTAGAACATCAATCAAAAGAGCCGAAGCTTTTTGAAATTTCTTTTAAAATATACGATTTTTACAAAAACCGTAATACATTTTAATGATTATTTTGAGTTATTTAGTTTAAGAAATTGGAGTTAGTTAGATAAGTGGGTTTATTATATTTTTCATATAAAGAAAAAACCGTTTGAATTAATAGATTTTGGTTAAACGTCGGTTCTGTTCATCTCTTTAATAGCTCCGGTTTAATTAACTGTTGAAAATTCACTCTTTTCTGCTATTATTTACTTTAGTATAAACTTATTTAACTAAAGATATTAATCAACACCTATTAATTCATAAGTAGATATTTATATTAAAAAAATATAATAATAATAAACCAATTTATCTAAATAAATCATACAAATTAGTAGTTCCAATGTATTAAGATTTTTGTAGAAATCAAAGTTCAATCAAACTCAATTCTACTAAAAAATAAAAAATTCCCTAACAAGCATATTATCTAAATTGATATATGGGTTGCGATTCCAAAATCACCCCTTCCTAAATTACAACGCCCTTAAAACATCATTGTACGGTAAATACCAAAAACGATTCACATTGGTCGTTTTTTCATAAGTATTTTAGAAAATCGTCAAGAAGTCAGCTAGGCCATGTTAGCTCGATATGGGTACCTAAATAATGTTAACATATTGTCTTTTGAACGTGCAACATTTTTTTTATTTATAAAAACGCTTACTAAAATATTTTCATTTATGTAAACATTGGAAACGAAAACGCACAACAAAACACCACACAATAGTGTTTTTCTAAAGTAAAAAAATTGTCTCTTCGTGTAAGCGCCTAGGCAAGAGCTCGATGAACAACAATTTAATAAAAAATCTCATTTTAAAATTTTTGTTTACTTTTGAACCACATTTTGCGCCGATGTGCGGAATTTATACACAAAAACCTCACTTCTAACAATTATTAAAATAATGTATACATTAATGAATCACCCTGTATATATGAATACAACCTGTGGTTTTCTGATTGGTTCATATAGTCCTAAAATGAGCCCACTATTTTTTTGATTAGGTGCATTACATTAAAGCGAGTAGCTGTTTTTTTGAAAATGTAAAGTGATCAAATTGTCTACTTTTGATGAAAAAATTTCAAAAATAATTATGTGTACAAGTACTGAAAATTTATGTGTTTCGAAAGTATTTTCGCCTTATTAAACCTTGAAAGATTGAAAGATTTCAAAAAAAATTTGGCTTAATTTTAAGATTTGATAGCTGGAAAATAATCTGAAGATAGGTCAACAACAGACTACATGGGAGACTATTGTACATTTTTGGCAAAACGACGCCAAAGCTCTAATAGCTTTATTATTTCATAATTCACAATTTATTTGACCGGTTTAAAGTCGTTTTCATTGAGATGTACCTATTTATGTAAAATATTTTCAAATCGCCTAAAACCCGACTGCAAGCCATCAAGACTAGATCGTCTAATCTCAAATAAGAAGAGGTCAGAAGTAGGTTTAGCGACTTTGATGTGTAAATCATGGAAGGTATTTTGGTCACTCAAATGGTTACAACCGTTTTCCTCGAGCAGCGTGTGAATCCACTAATTCGGTGGTCATAAGTTGAAAACACAAATTCTTCATTCACAAACATACCTTAGTTAGCAAAATATTTATTGAGTAAGAAATAAATTGGCACGACAAGGTCTAATAATTTAACCAATCACTGATTTGGTGAAGTTGCGTTAGATTTGCTTTAAACGTTTTGCACTTTAACGGGTCTAAACTTACAAGACATACTTTTATTTGCGCCTGTGTTATTTTAACAGACAACCGTTAATGGTATTTTGAAAATCTATTAAAAACCAAATAAAATATCATAAGTTGCATAGTTAGTTTATTTTACAATAATTTCTTTAATAGATTTTAACATTAGTTTGTATATTCGATTATTATTTGAAATATGACAATGTATATTTTTGATAATCCCACTTTCATCGTGTTAGTCTTTCATGTCTGTAAAAAAGTAAAAAAAATGTTAAAATTGGATATGATTTGGGTTTTCGGTTGTTCTTGGTAAAAACCTAACTTACTGTTTTCACATTATGGCAGAAATTGCCTGTAGCTAACATAGAAGTCGCAGTTCAGTCTGTGTTAAGGTAGTAAACATTTAAACATGTTTCTACTAGGCGAGGTTATGGATAAAAACATTTAAGATAAACTTTCTAACGTTTAAGAAACCACTAAAGATAGTTTAGGGTAGGTTAGGTTTATTTAAAAAATGGTCTTAACTCTACATGACAAAATGCGTTATTGAACTATTATTAAAGTTATTTTGAAAATCTTTTAAGAAAAAAAAATAAGAAGTTGCATACCTTGTCAATTTATTAAACACAAATCTTTGGTGTCTATGGAGGTCTGGAAAAAAAACTACAAACATTTTTAAAAATGGATATGAGTTTGGTTGTTTTATTTTTTACCAAGCCAGTAATTATGGATAAAAATACTCATTAAGTCTTTTTATCTCTACGCTTTTTAAGGAGTAAAGAAATATTAGGGTAGGTTAGGTTTATTTAAAAGTTTTAAAAGGGTCTAAACTCTACAAGACATAACGTTAACTAACTGTTGTTGAATTTATTTTTGAAATCTATTAAGAATAAAAATTAGGTTACATAGTTAATTTATTGTACAGAATTTTTTTTTTTACTAAAGCTTAGTTTTTGGAAATTCACAACATTATGGGCAACTTGTCAATACTTTATCATTCTCATTCTGTTGTAATTGAACGTGATCGTTCTGCTACAGTGCTACTTAATATAAATACTTAATACTTACAGGTCTTCTAGGTTGAGGACGATCATTTCCTTCATGGCGCAACAATATCATGTTTTCGGAAACCTGAAACTCACAAAATTATTGGCAACTTATCTATACTTTACCGTTATCCTTCTTTGTTATTTGAACGTGCTCGGTCTGCCAGAGCACAACTTAATATCAACTTTATACTTACAGGCTCACTAAATTGAGGATGAACATTGAACAAATTTGCTTCATCGCGAAACAATAGCATACCTATTTTTAACCCGTCTCGTTGTTGACTCTTGATGGACTCTATAAGTTTCATATTAATTTCGGATATGCTAAAATAAAATAAAAAAACATTCAATATTATGATTGAGGATCTCTTAAAATATTTCAGTTTTCCATTTAAAAAAATGTTGGTTTATGATATTTTGTATTGTACAATTTTCAAATTAGAATATATAAAATTGGTTATAGTCTTACTTTGAAATAATACAAACTAGACTGCCTCCGAAATAAACAACTAATAATTGTATTAGTTTTCATAGAAAATGCTTATTTTGAGAAGAACAAATCTGGAGGCGTAGCAAATGAGTTAACGACTCAATTGAGTAGGCAATGTATGGAAGTCAGGTGGGCATAATAATAGTAGTAATAATAATAATACCAAAGTAATTGATGTAAAGCCTTCAAAAACTCTGGATAGCGATGATTAGTTAAAGATAAAGACGATTTTATCATATAAAATATTGCATGAAGTAGGGGCAGACTCAAAAAAGCTCAAGAAAAATAAGAAGAACGCTTATAATATATAGTGACCGTTAAATCGATAAACAGCAGAATGTCCTATTACTTGTCTTGGCTCGTCCACTCCTAGCAACTAATAGTATTTTTTCAATGTACCACAACCTAAATACTTTGTTTTTGCCCTTGTAGTGTCCCTTCTTTAAGTATTTTGTCTAATCCCCATTTCCTTTCAACCCACCGGGTTTGCATATATACTAGACTTTAATAATATATTTTGATAGCATACCGTGGGTTGAAGTCGTGACCATAAATTTCCGTTGGTTTCTTAGTACTTGCCAAATTCGTTTTTAAACCAGAAATCTCAAATTCCAAACTCTCTACGAAGCAACCCGAAGCCTTTATTGCGGCAATTGCTGGCAATGTTTCCGGAACCGATTTCGTAAAATCTCTGTACAATCCCAAATTAGTGCCTATGGTCTTCATTTTATCCAATTGTTTTAGAAGCCACATGAAATTTCCATTGAAGCCTGCAATTAGTGATTCGAAATTCTCCACAAATCTGCCGCCGTGTGGTACGCAGTTATCTACAATGAAATTGTCCAACAATTGAATCGCCTCATTGAGAACACAGACGAGTTCGTTGATAGTGTCGATAAGCGGTACTGCAAATTCGTTTGTAAACTTAGTGCTCATCACATCGGTATAGATTTTGTACTTGATTTTTAAACCGAACTTCTTCTGGATCATGTCTGCCCATACATTGTAGATTTCCTTGGATGTCTTTAAAACGAAATCATGGCTGGTGATCAATTGAAAGTTGTCACTTACGAATTTATAGTCAAAGTCTAAGTGTAATTTCTCCCAGGTCAACCGCGACAATACCTTTTGAAATCTTTTATCTCCAAACATTGTTCGAACATCGAAATCCGACGTATCTTCTATCATTTGACGTATGGCCGTGGTGATGTTGGATTTGAGCTGCCACAAATCGCGCAATATCAAGAAAGCGGTTAGGCTGGCGTACTTTCTTAACGTGCATTGATATGCTGTTTCGATTATGTCGCGCGTCGATTCGAATTCCGTCACATCATTGTTGTTAGCTTGTTGCTTAAATTCATCCACGACCTTCCTAACGTTAACACTGGCCTGTAAGTCGTTGGCATCTTTTTGAATTATATTTTGATCCATAGCTGCGTCCCATTCGCCAATGGTGGTTTTGCTGTTTAAAATTCGTTTTAGTCCATTTGAATCTAATTTTTTAATCGTAGAGGATATGCAATACACCCCGGAAACACACAATAAAATCACACTAAAATGACAGATCATATTGTTAATGTTTTACCGACGGCGAATACTTGCTGTAGCTCAAGAAAAATTAAAACGTTTTGGATCTTCGGTTTAGCCTGTAACGTTTTCAGAATATCTATGACAATAAAAGGTGTTGGCACAGCAGCTGGTTTATGTTTGCGTATTAGTGGTTTACCTTTTTTGCGCGTACATTTTCGAAGGCATGAAAATCACAATTATATCAGGTTTGCCTCAAGTCAGCATTTTGTGTTTTATGCAAAATATCTTCATAGCCGAGTACAACTTATATGTTTTGTAGCGTCAAGCTACCAAGACAAATATATATATATTTATTTGTTTTGTCAGCCGTCGCAGATGTATAGAAAAAAGATTGTCGTTGAAAATCAAGTTTAATAACCGTTCACAAATGCAAACGACTCTTTAAATTTTTTTTACTGTTTTCCCACAATCGTAACTCTATATATGTGATAAATATAAAAAAAATTTCAAATACGATTTTTTTGCAAAATATTTTTTATTTAAAAAATGTATTAAATGTTACAATTTAAGTTTGTCAAAAAGCCGGTATAGTACGGTCGGGGCATAAAGGGAGCTCATCATAATGGAGAGGAGGGTGGGGGGTTCACAGGCCAATAGAAATTATTTTAACTGAATGTGATAAACGGATCAAAACATCAAGTACAAACGAACTTTGAAGTTAGCCCACTTTCGTTTTTTTTTTTTGAAAAATCACACTGCATGTTTGTTACAATGAAAAGAATGTTTTCAAATTTTTTTGATTATTTTGGCCACGGTGGTAAAATGTGTTTTCAGTTTATGTCTTGACACTAATTTTTTTCATATAATCTACGGTCATCGACACAAAATTATTAAAAATCAGTTTCTTAAGTAAAAATATAATCTCAGCTTTCTGACAAAAAATAACGATTTATTTTTTCGAGTAAAACACAAAATCATTAAAATTGGGTTTATAATTTAAAAATTCGGTCTTTTCGCGTTTCCCAACTTTTGAGAACTATTCTTTCGTTTTTTTCAGAAAGCTGATTTAATTTTGTATAACATGTGTAAATTTCAAATTTGGTTCTCCACAAAAACGCTCAGAAATACAATTAAAGAGGTGAAATTTCCTTAAAATGTTGTAAAAATTATCTTATTCCTACAAATAATTATTTCAACTATTTTGATATTTGACTATACATATTGTTAATATTTTACAGTCGTTAAATACTTGCTATAGCTTAAGAAACGCTAAAACATTTCCAATCACCGTTTGTACCTGTAACGTCTTCAGAACATACATAAAAATAAATGGCGTTAGCACAGCAGCTGTAATAATACAATTCTGTTTGTACTGTATTTCTTCATGTTGGCCGATAAACAAATATAATACTGCCACATTTTTAGTCACTGCGTACTTTTAACATAATAATAATTCTTACCGGATGATACTTGTGAGTAAAAAAATCTTCCATAAAAACTAATTTAGGCAGTTTTTACATGGTTAACGTCTCGAATCACAGAATTTATTCTAACAGCAAAATCATTATCAGGGATCCAAATTACTGTGGAGCATTATCGAATAAAAAATCAATTGTTTTTCAGTGAAATATTTTCGTATTTGAAACATTTGTACAAACAAGAACAACGACAACGACAACAGCAGCAGAAAACACACAAATAATTTCGTTTTAACATCAAATGAATAGTTTTCCAATTCAAACCTACACATCGATAAAATATCTGTTAATATTTCATATTGTAAATTGAGAAAAATTTACAAAAATACTGAGTATACTATATGGTTTTGATAATATTATTATTATGAATTCAAAATCATTTTAAGCAGTTTGATATATTATAAAAAAACGCAAAATGTAACTAATAAAATATGTTATTTAACAAATATTAGAGTATTTAGTAACTTTTTTCTTTTATCCTCATTATTAAACTAATTATGTAACAACTGAAAAGTAACCAATACAACGTTTTAAATAAAATAGTTCTTCGTCATGTTTTATAGTTTTGACAAATTTCTAAAAACGTAGAAATAGAAATCATTTTGATACCCACATCACACGTTCTTCAATTAAACTATGTTATTCATTTACCGATACTAATTTATTATTGTGTTAATTAAATTTCTAAAAAATCAATAAATATGTTTACTACCACTCTTTATGTGCTATTATAGTAGACCAAATAGACATTCATAGGTGAACTGTACTAGGTTTTAAATGTTAAAGGCTCTTGACTCTACAAGACATGCTTTTATATTTTGCCCCTGTGCTGTTTTTAACAGACAACCGTTATTTTTGAAAATGATTAAAAAAATTAAACAAAAGCGCATAATTTGCATAGTTAATATATTGTACAATAATTTCTGTAATTACATTAACATTGGATTATATAATTGATAATTCTTTTGAAACATGTCAATCAGTTCCCACTCTTCTCCTTTTGGTCTCGGGAGTCTGAAAAAAATACAAAAATTGTAAAAAATTGATGCGACTTTGGTGTTTGATTTTTCCTGGTAAAAACCACATTCATATGCAGATAGCCAGAAATTGATTTCATAGAGCAGGGAATGATTAATACAAAATAAATGGTGTATGTTGAAGTAACTTGAAATTTATGACCTTACTGGTAACTTGTTAATACTTTGTCATTCTTCTTATTTCTTTATAATAGAACGTGCTCGTTCTGCTACAGTGCTACTCAATATCATCTTTATACTTACAGGTTCGCTAGGTCGAGGATGATCATCGGACGAATTTCCTTCATTGGAAAACTGTACCATACCTATTTTTACCTGGTCTTGTGTCTGATTCACGGCGGATTCTTTAATTTCCATTTTCATTTCGGATATGCTAAAAAATAATATTAATATTAAATTCGATAATTTATAGAGGATCTCTTAAAAAATTTGCTGTTTTTAATTGTAAAAATTGGTTTATGTTTTACGGATAAAAAACCGCTTAACATATATTTGAATCATATAATTAAAATAAATAAAACAGTAAATTATGGCACTAGCATTGATTTATGACGTAAAGGCGATTTGAACAAATGCAATCATGGAGTAAGTATAAAATATTGCATAAGTATATCCTGGAATGAAGTTGAAAGCTATACAGAACGATGTCTTATCACTTGTCTTTTATATAGTCATTTCTATCAACTTTCCTATCTACATTTATATTGCCATTAAAATAATATATTTTGATATCATACCGTGGGTTGAAGTCGTGGCCATAAATTTCCGTTGGTTCTCTTCCATTTGGCAAATTCATTGTAAAACCAGAAATCTCGTAATTCAAATTTTCTACAAAGCAACCCGGACCCTCTATTTCGCCGATTTCTAAAGATGTTCCCAAAATCGAACGTGTAAAATCTTTGTACAACTCAAAATTAGTGCCCTCGGTGGTTTTTTTATTGTATTGCATTAAAACCGATACGAAATCTCCACCCACCCCTTTTTTTAATGATGAGAAATTCTTTACAAAACTGCAGTCACGTTTTACGCACTTGTCTAAGATGAAAATGTCGAAAATTTTAATCGCCTCATTTAGAACACAGACGAGTTCGTTGAGAACGTCGACAAGTGGTTGCTCGAATTCGTTGGTAAACTTCGTTGTAAACACATCGGTGTACATTTTGTACTTGATTTTTAAATTGAGCGTCTTTTTGATGATATCTGTCCAAAAATAGTGGATATCCGTCTTTGATGTAAAATCGATCATGTGACTGTTAAATAATCGAAAGTCACCATTTACTTTGAAGTCATAGTCTAAGTTAAATTTACCGTAATCCAGAAGTAAACGCCTGCTTTTAAATAGTTCATTTGCAAATATTGTTCGAGGATCAAAATTCGTCATATGGTTTTTCGCATATCTTATGGCCTCGTCAATATTACCTTTGAGATGAAGCAATTCCTCAACTATCATCCATGTGGTTATACTTGCGTACTTTGTTATTGTGCATTCATAAGCCGTTTTGATTATGTCGCGGATCCTTTCAAACTCCTTCAAAAGTTCTTTCCCCTCCACAGGACTTTTGTCAGCTATTAGCTTATAGTTTCGCACATTCAACTTAACGTTAACAAAGGTTATTCGGCCGTTGGGATGTTCGTAAGCTACAATTTGATCCAAAGCTGCCTCCCATTCTTTGATGATGATTTCGCCGTTCAAAATTCGTTTTAGTCCATTTAAATCCAAATTGGCAATAAAAGACGGTATGCAATAAACGCCGGAAAGGCACAACAGAATTACACAAAATTGACAATTCATATTGTTAAATATTTTACCGACGTTGAATAATAATTGTTACAGCCCAAGAAACACTAAAACCTCTTTTAATCGTCGGTTCAATTCGTAACGTCTTTAGAAATTCTTTGAAAATAAATGTTGATAGCACGGTATGTTTGTATTAGTGGTGTACATTTTTGAAAAAACCAAAAGTAAAATTATATATACAGGGTGGCCCACGAAGATTTGATAAATGAAATAACTTTTGTTCTAGTGAATATTTTTGAGATTTTTTTCAAAAAAATAATTTATCCTCATTTGCGCTATAAGCACCGTGGTTTTTATTGCACTTACCTGTTTTACTTTTTTTAATAGTTTTTTTATTACATATTTTTATTTTTTTTCAAGATAGCCATTTTGTTCAAAAGAATTTTTAAAAAAGAATTGGCGAAAAATATTTGGATTTTTATTCATCCGTTCAAAAGTTATATTCATTTGAAAGTGAAGATTACTGATGACGGGAGGTGGAGTGCGGTAGAGTAAACCGCGTATATTTTTTTTATCAGCGCGCGTTCAATAAAAACCACAGTGCTTATAGCGCAAATGTGTATAAATTATTTAAAAAAAAAAAATATCTCAAAAATATTCACTAGAACAAAAGTTATTTCATTTGTCAAATCTTCGTGGGCCACTCTGTATAGGTTACCTTAGGTAAGTCAGTATTTTATTTTTTATGAATATTTTCATGGCCGAGTTAACTACAATGTGTAGCTATAAATTCGCTCAACAAGGATTTGGTTTTTGCAGTTCTTTATGTAACGGAAACGTCAAAATAAAATAATCTTTTGGACGTTGGTTCTTGTTGTCAGTTATGTCTAAAGTGATATACATTTTGGCTGAAGGGTTTAGGGAAATTTGCTTGAAGTGCTTTTAATGAAATAATACGTTTGTAGAATTTTTTTTGATGCATTATTTTTCGTTTAAATGTTGTTTGGTCTAAATTTTTAAACCGAAAACCATTGATTTAGAATGA